ACAAGGGCAGCACTGTAGCTCTGCCAAGGGATGCAGAAGCCCATCTCTGATACATACTGTGTCACAGAGCATTTGGTAACACATGGAGCACTGGTATAGTGGTAATGTTTCCCAGACAGATGGAGTCCACAATTATAATTTTGGTGAGCAATGTCTGATAATCAAAAGGCATATGAAACAATCGGATACAACTCTGAGATGCCCACAGTTGCCTGAAACTAACCCCTAACCTCTCTAAGCAAGAAGAAACTAAAAACATCCACTATACTGTGATATCTAATATATAACCTGCAAATTGTGGAGTACTATGATAAACAGGATGGTAAAGTCTAAAGGACCTGGTTAGCAATATGTCCGGTGGTTGAAAGTCAATTACTTTTATTTGAAAAATATAGAAAATAGACTTGAGGAGCCACATGAGTTATAAACAGCTGGACTTTTTTTTAAAAAAGGGAGTGAATTGGAAATGTCTGCAATTTTTCTCACAGAAAATGTGATCATTTAAGTTGATCATTCAAATTTATTTAAATATTCTCTTACTAATGAATTATGACTACGCTCATCTGAACCATTTTCCTAGTGTTTCCTTATATAAATCTAAGTAATCACTTCCTAAAGAGTAGTTGACTAAATTGCTACCTGTTTATTGTATTATGTAATGTACGTGCATGCTGTTTAAATATCACCAAGCTCAGAATATTCAGAAATATTTGGATTATGCTTATAAGTATGTAAATTTTAGGAGTTTTCTCCCCCTTAGAAATCAAGGTTTCTACTCCTTATCAATAAAATTATTTTTGCTTCTTTTTGAATATAAATTAAATTTAGTTCCATAGTATATTTGTTCAGTTATTCAGGTCAATAAATTGTTTATGTTACATATTTATTTTGTTCATTTATCCATTAATTCACTTCACAGAGATGGGCTAAATGACAAGTAGTGCCCAATTTTAGTTCCACTATTAGTTTTCATGTTCCTCTAGGGGAATTTTCTATTTTTGTTTTCTTTGTTTAACTACTAAGGTGCTGCTTATATAGTAAACCTTCAACACATATCTAAAATTGCTGGAAGAAAGTTGTTAAAATAATGGACACATTGGAATCAGATAATTGTAAAGTCACAGATGAACATTCTCACCGTGTCCTGGATAGTCTATCTTTTCTCCCATTTACATAATTCACAGCCAATTATTTAACCAAATACCAAAAAACACACCTGTCACTTCCAAGACTTTGGGAAAAAAGAGTGTCCAGAATCTGCATTGTTGAGCACGTAGTTTAGTGTACACTTTTGGTGACTCTGTATTCAAGGTTAAATATTTCTGTTCAGGGCTTTTGAAGAGAGGCCATCTAGTACTATTGTTCTGGGTCCCATTTGGATTTCTGAAAAATTAAAGAGAGACATTATGTCCTACTAATCACTATTAGATTAAAAAATATTGTTCTCAAAAACCAGTAAGACGAGATTGGGCATGTTCAGGGTGGTATGGCCATAGATGGCGGCAGGCGCCAGCTTTATTGTTTTTGTAACTATGTAAGTTTAAAAAGCTAAAGATCCAATCTGTTCTTAGAAACAATAATTAGTACATATATGTAAACTAACTAACTAACTAACTAAATAAATAAATAAAACCCAATAAAAGCTTTTAAAATATCAGAAAACTGTGGACACAGTCAGAAAAATTGTAGGTTTGTTTGATGATGTCAAGCACACATGAATAGGGTTGAATGCTTTCAGTGCCTTGAAGCACTATGTTAGTTTAAATTGTAAAAATTAAAATTTAAAGAACTTTCTATACATATTTCTATTTAACATACAGGGAGAAAAATATGTAAATGTATTCTATTTTAAAATACTAATATTTTCTTCTCACTTAAACCTGTGCTTAAGTTTGGGACCAATTACAAATCTCCTTATTATGTAATAACCTCATTACTCGAGGACACTGCCTTCAGTCTCATTTTTTAAGTTGATCCCACCTTCTTATAGATCTGTCCACTGTTTAAAGATCTTTCAGTCATTCCCCAGTGGGCTCAGACAAAGGTCAGTGAACATGGTGCCAATGACATTTCCAAGCTTACTTTCAGGTATTTTCTTCCTGGGCCAGCCAGCAGGAATCAGGGACAGTTCCTTGGTCTTTCCTCCTCCATTTCACCTCCTTGCCTTTGCGTAATATTTCTTCTGCTGGGAATCCCTCCATTTCTTAACATCAGGAGTCTAAGTCAATCCAGAACCTTCAGATTATCTTTTACTGCTGATGTTTCCCGTATCTTTAATTGTTATTTCAAAATCAATAATGCTTGACTTTATTTTTCAGAAATTTACAGTTTGGGACTAACTAGCACCTTTGTAGCACTCAATATATATTATTGCCTAGGTCACATGTACAGAAACACAAGGAGTGAACATTCTGGAAGTGACTCTGTCTAGTCAGTCGCTGGCTGTCTATAGATTTCCAGATTTCCTTTTAATGTATTTGTATGATGTTATTAGGAGTCAGACAATGCTCTAGGCTCTAGAAATACAAATAAATATGGAAAACATAGTTTTCCCCAAGGAATTTACAAGCCAGAACATCCATGAAAACAAAGAACCAACAATATACGGTAGCCTAAATCAACCATAAACAAAGGGACACGAATTGTCAGAAGAGGGAACAATTGTTATGTGTTTGGAAGGAAATTACTGAAAGCAATGCAGACAGAATTATCTAAAGCAAAGGGACAGAATTATCATAGGTATGTATATAATGAGTGTTCATTTTAGTTCAAGTAACAATGAAAAAACTAGTTTTCTTGGATTCTAGGATAGTGGAGATCCTGTTAGAGTTACAGCTTTAGGATGTAAGTGTTACAGCAGGAAGATCTAACAGCCTAAGAAAATGGTTTAGACTTTAGCTTGTGGGTTTTTACTATTCTGGAGGGATTCTTGACTAGCTGGCTTATTGTAAATACAACATTTTAGAAATAGTGACCTAGAGGTGGTACCTAGGCTAATCAACAAATCTATTAAATAGTCACATATACTTCTATCATAAAAGGAAGACTCACGTGATGAGCATAAGTAATTCATTCTTTTTTCTTAGATTCATCTAACTTCAGCAAAATCATATAAGAAAAACTCCAGTTGAACTACTCTAAAAGTTCAGCACACAGAATTCTTTATCATTGATTTGAATGATATATAATCTGTATATTATTAATAGATAGAAATTTGGGAGTTGTGACAGTAGGTACACTTTTTCCCCCCAAAGCTTGTGAATCCCTAGAATTTGGAGAGAGAAGCAGGCATTCAGGCAGCATGGTTATCCAGAGGCAGAGTTTGCCATCAAGAACTTGTGTCGAAAAAGTACAATAAATTCCTATTTTATCATTGATGCAGACATATTCAACCATGAATTGAGGAGCTGTAGAGATAAATCGTTTCATGATGAACTAGTTGATTTTATGTAGGAATTGGATGATTTAATAAGAATTATTAATAACCAGAGCTATTCAAGCTAAACCAATATCATAACAGGATTAAACCCTCTTGCTTTAGGGGATTATTTGAAAGAGGTCATGAAGAAAATTTTTCCAGATCACAGATGGCACACTTGTCTAGGTGAATTATGTAGTCTTTTTCTTTTCTTTTAAAGCTTTAGAAACTAACAAGTACAGCTGCTGGAGGCTGCATATTAAACCAGGAGAACTATTGGTCTGCTCCGGTACAGCAATTCTTATGTTCCTAAATTGCCCACTTTCCTTCTAATTTGATTCTAATTAACTTATGGCACCATTTAAACTGCACATTCATTTCTGGCTTCTGCAAACGGTGACTTAAACAGAGCTGACTTGTACTTGAGTTCAAGAGCGAAGCACTAATGGCACTGCCAGTGTTCATTTAACAAACTTTGTCCTATGAAATAACTCATGACATTCCAAATTGTGATTCAGAGGTAATCAAATTCCTTTGCTATGGATGCAGATATAGTTTTCAAAAAGTGATTGAAATAGCTATTGAAGTGATGAAGCATTTTACTCTATAATTTGAAGAAAGCTCCAAAGACTTGAAAACAACCAGAGATACAATTCTCTGCTTATTGGTATCAATGAAAAACTTTGTGAAATACAACGTAATTCCCAGATACAGAATTCTGAAACACTGTATAATTTTAATCCCAAAATTGTAAGATAAATTTAAACATGCTGATTTTGCTATCTTTCAAAAATATTTTCTGTTCTGGTTACAAAATAAAGACTGTACTTCACACTTTCCATGAGATAGAGAAATCTCTTCTCCTTTTTGTTACCAGGCTCTTTTTCTAATTTGTGGTATACAAAATGGTCTAAAAATTATCCATTTCACACTTCCTCTAATGTAGGATTGAAAAGCTTTAAGAGACAGATTATTCAACCAAAAAAAGCAGAATATCTTTCTAACAACTGTGTTACAGGAAATTACCTGCTTGCCATCGACATCTGAGCACAGATTTGATAACTCATTTTTTTTAATAGATTTTTTTTAAAGGCACTAATTGACTCAGGATGGCTGATATGAAGAAGCAGGATGCACTCAAATTTCATATATCATTTTTTTGAAGTTATAAATTCCAATATTGCTTACCCAATCCTAACACAGGATTTAAGCTCTTCTTTGATTAAGAATTCAGAGACAGTTATTTCTAACTAAGATATACAGTGATTTTAAAGTGAATATATTTTACTGTGCTTTACAATCTAAGCTAAGGAAGCCATGATTATTAGTTATAAATTGAAAGACCATCCAAAACTTTCCACGATCATAAGAGGGCTGAGGGAATACAGCATATACTGGATAATTTCTTAAATAGGCAAATATTCATGGAATTATATTCCATGTTTTGTCATGCTTAAATAAAACTGTATTTTAATTTAAAGAAGAAATGGTTATAAGAGAATCTGAATTTGGAGATCAAATCCATTATCTTATTCAGTAAACATTAATTGAGTGCATACTATGTCAGGCTTATTTGAATCACAGAATATTCAACAAAGACAGAACAGAAAAGTTCCTGAGTCTTGCAGTTTCATTCTATAAGGAAGATAAACAATAAGGACAATAAAGGAAATACACAGTATAGTACACAGTTATACTGCTAGAAATGATAATAAAGTGGAGAATGGGGATGATAGGAAATGGCAGGTGTGTAATATTTTCTGTGTGTGTGTGTGTGTGTGTGTGTGTATGTGGAGAGGCAGTGGTGAGGGAGTGTGTAATAATGAATTTGCTTGACTTTTGTTCACATTTCTGGGAGATAACCTCTAAGTCTTTGGAATTTTGCACCATACCTGATAATTAATGCTAACAGGATGACTTAAGTCATGCATTCGATGGTTTTTGCTAATGATGTGACTCAGGATGGGGCTACTCACACTGATAATCTTAGGGAAGGAACTGGGTGCACCAGGAAGACTTAACGAGTGGTTAGAGGTTTGGGACTCTGAACCAAGTGCTATCAGCCTGATCTTCAGGAAGGGGAGGGGCCAGAAGATGGCATTTAACCACACGCCCACTAATTCAATCAGCCATGCCTTTATAATGAATTCCCAGTAAAACCCTGAACCTCAAGCTCAGGTGAGCTTCCTGGGTTGACAGCTCCCCGTGTGCACACTGCCACCATTGATGCCATGAGGGCACTGCAGCTCTGAGGGCACAGAAGCTTTCTGTTGGGATCCTTGTCAGTCCTGTTCTATGTATCTCTTCCTTTGACTGGTTCTGAAATATATTAGAATCTTTTGCTATATTAAAACTGTCACTGTAATTATAGCATTTTTTCTGAGTTTTATGAGTCATTCTAGTGGATTATCAAGTCTGAGAGAATACGTGGGGACTCTGAACTTACAACTGATGTTAGCAATCTTGGGCCAACTTGGAAGTCTGAAGGACTGTGCCTTAACTTAGACTTCGGCTAACTCTGGGTAGGGAAACTCTGCAATATTTGGTAGGAAAGAAACTTTTAAAGAAAGAGTTGACAGAGGAGTGAGCCATGCAGTTTTTTGAAGGAAGACTACTTCAACAAAAGCAATAGAAAGCAAAGACCAAGAGACAGATACATGCCTGGAATTTTCCAAGAACAGCATGTAGGAGAGGGTGGCTAGAGTAAAGCCAGCCAGGGAGAGGAGAGTAGGAGGTAACACTATTTAGTGACCTGTATGCTGGTCCTTATCTTTTTACATCTACTCTGAGTGAGAGAGGAAGTGTTTGGAAGATTTGCACAAAGAAAAAAACAAGATCTCACTTATATTTTTTAAAAGATCATCTGGGTAAAATTCTGGGAAGGGACTGCAGAGAATCCAAGGCCAGAAGCAGAAACAGGAGATCAGTTAAGAGACCACAGGGATAATTTAGGTGAGAGATGATG